GGCCCCGCACGGGCCCCCCGGGGGAAAGCCACTGCCACCCCCAGCCCCCTCACCCCGGCGGGGTGCAGCCCCCCACCAGCACTGCGGGAACGCACCCGTGGAAACGTCGCTGTTTCTGGTCCGCAACTGTCTTCCTCTTAAAATAATAATAATAACGATAATAATAATAATGATTTCTGAGGCAGGCATGCATGAGGCTGCTACTAAACTTAGTGGCCGCCTTTGCTGTTTGAGAGCGAGGAGAAGAGACAGGCAGTATAAATTGCACGGCTGCAGAAGGACTTCAAAAAAAACACCCCCCATCCCTCATTTTGATTGATATTAGCTTCACAAATTAAGCTTTAGATTTATCTAAAAATAAATTTGCTTCCAAGCTCCGCATTCTGGATGACAAGTGCTTTTCTCTTCCCTTTGTTGGGGTTGTCATCGCTGGCAGAGAGGCACAGGGGGGTGGGAGGGGGCTGTGCCCGAGCACCCCCAGCCCCCGGGGTCCCCCCCAGCCATGCCTGAAGGCAGAGGGTGCAGTAGCTCAAGTCGTTGCAGGGCAGGGTGTCAAAGGGCCAGAGGCAAGCCCTGCAGTCCCTAAGGTGGCGGAGGAATCCCGTGCTGGGGTGTCCCCACCATGGCCACGCTGTCCCCAACCCCACGGAGCCGTGGCGGGGTCCGGCGTGACGGCACACGGCGCTGGGGCACGGCCACGACCACCCCTCCTGCCCCCCCCCCGCCCGCCTCGGGCCGGGGCTCTCCCACCTGTGCCCCCAGCTCTGGTGGGGCCCGGCCGGGCGAAAGGAAATTTTATAATTTTCAAATAAGAGCCAGCGTGAAGGCGGGAGCCGGCTCAGCTCCTCGTTTGATTATGCAGCACGAGCTGAGCGCTGAAACCTCAGCCTCTCCTAAGTAGTGATAATGAAACTTATTCATTCCCGCACCCTGGGGAAATACTTAAACCACAATATGAGAGATATATGTAAATCACATTTAAACGGAGACAGTGCAGTTAAAGCTAACGGCGAGTAATCAGGTTTGAAGATGAAGTGTCCCCTTTTCTGCTATCTCATTTGCTTAGCGAGCTGGGCTGCCCCCGGGGCCCTGGCCGAGGTCTCGGCCACCACGTCACCGTGCCACCGCTGCCCACCCAGATCGGTCCCTCAGACCTGCACAACGTCCAGCAGCAAGAGGAAACCACGCTGCTGCAGGTGGCTGCAAGGGAGCTGAGCAGAGAAGGAGCATCATGGTTAAAGGTTCGTGATGGGATGGGGTGGGGTGGGACGGGGCTGTGACCTAAACTGTCCTTAAGTGCCCATTTGTAATTACATGGTTTTCTGTACAATGACGGGAGGATTGCAATAGGAGAGGGAGAGGAATGAGCCAGTAAAATTAAATAACAGTTTATACTTGCACATGTCACTTCCCTCATTAATATTAATTAGATCAGCAAAACAGAACCCAAGATATCCAGTATTTGAAGAAAAGTATTTAACCTTCTGCCAGATGTACTCAAATAAAAATGTTCTGTACTATTAGACTTTAAAAACCATTTCCACACAATGAAGATCTCTAGCAGTAAGATGCAAGCATATCAGGAAGTCAGTTGCTTTGGACTGAGTTCCAGTGATCATGTTCCTGCCAACTTTTTTTTCAAATTAATATTGCCTTCCCAGTTACTTAATGCAATCTAAAGAGTATTAGTTCTTTTTCTAAAATTACGTACATAGAAGGATTTACCTTTAAACAAACAGCTTTGCAGTCCAAAAGGTTCGTTAGTTACGAGGACAGGTAAGCCTTTAGCAGAAGGCAGTCACAACCTTGAAATTTGGCAAGAAGAGTCTATACCTACCTTACTCAGCTAAAAAAAGAAACCCAAACAAAAAAAAACCACACCTTTGAAGGCTGCAATGCAAGTACTCTACTTCTCCAGCATACTAGGTATGCTGAACTTACACATACCATACAGTAGTATTTTATTTTAAAGTTAAGTGTCAAATTTCTCGACTTTTGCATTGCAAAACTTTCATTAAGGTGAATCAATACACTTAAAGAAAACATACACAAGTGTGCACTCCGCAGCCCTGCGCCATGGCCACGCACCGCAGCTCTGTACCTTCACCATGCACCGCAGCCCTGCACCACAGCCCTGTGCCATCACCACGCACCGCAGCCCTGCACCGTGGCCATGCACTGCAGCCATGTACCGCACCTGTACACCACAGCCATGCACCGCAGCCCTGTGCCACAGCTCTGTACCCTCGCCATGCACTGCAGCCATACACCACAGCCCTCTGCCCTCACCATGCACCGCAGTCCTGCATCGCAGCCCTGCACCATGGCCATGCACAGCAGCCATGCACCGCTCCTGTATACTGCAGCCCTGCACCACAGCCCTGTGCAATCACCATGCACCGCAGTCCTGCACCATGGCCATGCACCACAGCCCTGCGCCATCGCCATGCACTGCAGCCCTGTGCCATCACCACGCACCGCAGCCATGCACCATGCCTGTACACCACAGCCATGCATCACAGCCCTGCGCCTTCACCGTACACCGCAGCCCTGCACCATGGCCATGCACCGCAGCCCTGTGCCATGGCCACGCACCGCAGCCATGCACCGCCCCTGTCCACTGCAGCCCTGCACCACAGCCCTGTGCCATGGCCACGCACTGCAGCCCTGTGCCACACTTGTTCACCGCAGCGCTGTGCCGTGGCCATGCACCGCAGCCATGTACCGCACAGGTACACTGCAGCCATGCACCCCAGCTGTGCACCCCAGCTGTACCCTTCGGCCATGCACCACAGCCGTGCACCATGGCCATGCACTACAACTGTACACTGCAGCCATGCACCGCAGCCATGTACTGCACCTGTGTACCACAGCCCTGTGCCATCGCCACGCACCGCAGCCGTGTACCGCACCTGTACACCGCAGCCATGCACCGCAGCCGTGCGTGAGAGCCATGCACCATAGCCGTGCCCTTCAGCCGTGCACCGCAGCCGTGTACTGCACCTGTACACCGCAGTCACGCACCACAGTCATGTACTATCACCACGCACCGCGGCCGTAGCCATGCACCACACCTGTACACTGGAGCCATGCACCACAGCCCTGTGCCATCGCCATGCACCGCAGCCGTGTACCGCACCTGTACACCGCAGCCATGCACCGCAGCTGTGTACCACATCTGGGCACCGCAGCCATGCACGGCAGCTGTGTACCACACCTGGGCACTGCAGCTGTGTACCACACCTGTACACTGGAGCCATGCACCACAGCCCTGTGCCATCGCCATGCACCGCAGCAGGTACCGCACCTGGGCACCGCAGCCGTGTACCGCACCTGTACACCGCAGCCATGTACCACACCTGGGCACGGCAGCCATGTACCACACCTGGGCACCGCAGCCGTGTACCACACCTGGGCACCACAGCCGTGCACCGCAGCCATGCATGGTAGCCACGCACCACAGCCATGCACCGCAGCCGCCACGCACCGCAGCTGTATTCTGTAGCCGTGCACCGCAGCGCGTACCACAGCCCCG